ATCATATACACATGACTGCATTGGCGCTTCGCGCCATGCACCTTGTTCCTTGTGAGTTCGAATGCAGGCGGCGCGCGCGCGCGCGTGGACGTGAGGCCGGCCACCGCCAAGCCGGAGTGGGTCAGGATCTCCTACGCGGGAGCGACTTGACAACGCCAGCTCTGGCCAGCTCAAGGCGTTTCTGTGCCCAGAGGCGCGAGTGAGTCTCAGGCGACTGGTTGGGGCAGCATGAAGCAGGGCATCCTCCTCCTCTTGCCCTTCCTCCGCATTTTCCTTCCCCCTCTTTCTCCTCTTCATATTCATCCTCTTTCTGCTCTTCCCTCCTTTTCCTCATTCCGCTTCCTTCTCCTCTCCCTCTTCCTTTCCTCTACTTCTTCATGCTTTTCTTTCACTTGCTATTTCCGGCACGCGCGCTGCTGGGCTGCCGGATTCTTGCAGATGGCGCGCTTGACAGGCACGACGCGCGGAACATCGTCCTTATGTGGTGCGTCGATCTGGCGTTCCAAGCAGAGGCCGCATGAAATATCGGATAAGGACATGGCAGGCCATCATGCGCTCGGGCACGAAGCTGCGAGCACCCCGTCCACAAAGTTGCAACCTGCGTTTGCCTGCTCGAACGTCGCCAAACCAAGCCCATTGGCGACTTCGGCGGTGCCTGGCAACATTCGCACGATGGCTTCCCAATTTTGCCGTTGCCACGCAATCGGCTGCCAAGAAACATGTCGGGTTGCGTCGTTGAGGAATCGCAGAGTTTTTCCTCGGCGGTTCCCATCATATCCCAACAGGGGCACAGCGATTGACAACGAGGGGTCCAAACGATGTGGTCGGCAATCTGTCCAAGGTAGTGAAGCAACATGTTCAGCGAAACTCTTCTATTCTGAATGGCATTCGAGCATATCCAGTGCTTGCCGAAAGCCTCCTGTCGGACGTCCGGTGTCCCACAATGTTTCGCCTATCGTGCACTTCCGTTTGGTTTCTAGCAAAGCTTTCCGCGCAGCAGTCTCAGTGCACATTTTGGGGACACTCTTCGTCGCTATCTCCATGGGTTTTTTGCGCGAGATCAAATGAAGATCCGTAACCCACAGAATCCACTGCGATGCGTCCACCTGGGCCAGGAGTGTCGGACATCAGAATTAACCCTCCGACAAAAAAAAACAATGTTTTCAGCCGTTTCGTTTTTTCGCTTCCTGTTGTCACTTGCGATTGTCTCTCGAAGCGTCTAGATGCCGCCGCGACGGCTCCAGATGAATCCCCAGACGAGCCCCAAAGAAACCCAAGGCTGGCGCAACTGGGCGCGCAGAGTGGGGCCCAGAAACAGGCACATTTAGGAAAATCCTTGGAAGAGCAAGGTGTTTGGTCTTCTCGCCATGTCCCTTCCGATTACAGTTGGGTCCCTGAAGAAGGAACCCTTTTGGTTGGGGAGGGGCTCCGCGTTCCTTAAGTGTTTCACAGCTTGCCTCAGGCTTCCCTTATGTTTTCGACGGGAAATCGAAGTTTAACTTATGGAAAAAAGAGGCCTCGTTCCTTATTTAGGGTTGCTTAGGTCAACGCCCGACTGTAGCTCTTGAGACGTCTATCTAGACAGTTCCAAGACGTCTCCGAGTGAGTCCCCAGGCGAGCCCCAAAGAGGCCCAAGGCTGGCGCAACAGGGCCCGGAGATGGCGCAACTCGGCCCAGAGAGTGGGGCCCAAGGTTGGACAAATGTAGGGAAATCATTGGAAAAAAAAAGTTGTTGGTCTTCTCGCCGTGTCGTTTCCGATTGGCTGTTGAGGCGTCCAGACAGCTCCAAGATGTCTCCAACTGAGTCCCCTGACGAGCCCCAAAGAGGTCAAAGGCTGGCGGGCGCAACAGGGCCCGGAGAGTGGGAAAACCAGAGAGAACGCAACAGAAAAGCAATTTGTTCGGCCTTGTCGCTTTTTAATTTCCGATTGATTCGGAGGGTTCCAGACGACCCCAGCCAGGACGGCCACAGGGAAGCGCAAGACAGGCCCGAGGATTCGAAAGTTTTTTGGGGGAGGGCGGGGGGGGGGGCGCTCCCCGGCCCTATAGGGCCCGCAAAAGGGGGGCCCAGAGATGGACAAATGTAGGAAAAGCATGGGACAAGCAAGGTTTTTGGTTTTCTCGCCTTGTTGTTTCCGATTGGCTCTTGAGGCGTCCAGATGCTTCCAAGACGGCTCCAGATGAGGCCCCAGACGAGCCCCGAAGAGGCCCAAGACTGGCGCAACAGGGCCCGGAGAGTGGGAAAAGCAGAGAAAACAAAGTAAATCAGCAGTGTTTTTGGCCTCGTCGTTTGTACATTGTCGCTTGACCCGGGGGGCGTCAAGACGACCCCAAGATGACCACAGCAAGGCGCAAGACAGGCCTGAGGAGGCGAAATTCGTTTGTATGGGGGGGTGCTGGGGTGTGGCCCCCCCGGCCCTATGAAATCTACATATACAAAGAATATGTGTATACATCTGTGTGCGTGTATATACAGGTATAGACACACACACAACCACATATATATATATATATATATATGTATGTATATATGTATATATGTGCACAACCGTACACGTATGTGATAAGAAATGTTTCGAACCACGTGTACATATGCATATAGTTGATGTGTATGTGTACACCGATGTACATATATATATATATATATACGTATATATGCATAGCTGGTCATGTAAGCATTGATGTATATATATATATATATATGCATGTGTATCCCTGTGTATACATATGCATGGTTATATGCATGTATATGTGTCGACATGTGTGCCTATATATATATATATATACACATCGAACATATGACACGTTTATAGTCATTGTACATATGTGTATACATTTGTGCGCATCGACATATTTGTATATATACACATGTGTATGTAGATGTGTATATATATATGTGCGTATGTGTATAATCAATGTGTGTATATATATTTATATCGGTGTATATGCAGGTGTTTACATATACGGAACGATATACATATATATATATATATATATATACATATACGTATATACACATGTATATACATGTATATACATAAATATGTCTTTATACAGAGATAGAGAGATGCATACACACTGGCGGTGCTGTAGTTTTGACCGTAGCATACCCCCTGTAGAATCTAAGCGAAAGGTTTCTGGTCTGGCTGCTGTTCCGAGCCCAGAGGCTCGCACCCTGGAAGAGTATATATATATATATGTATACACGAGACAGGGTGATAATCACTCCGCCCCACAAAACACTGGATGGGAAATCATTCCGTTCTGGCCCGACTTACACCCTATTCACTCCGTGTGATCGTCACAGTCGGCTTCTTCATCATTTGCGTCGTCGTCGTCATGCCCGCAATGATGTGTTGATTCAGTGTGCTCGTTTGCACGTTGAGGCCGAGTGACCCTGGACACCCTTATGCAACGCAGTCGCTCTTGCTTCGGCTGCAGTTTCCCCAGAGATTGCACGAGGGCTTCCAGATTGCAGATGGGGTCACGTTTGAGTCTTGAACCGGTCATCGGCGGCATGCGGCGCGTTCTGATTTTTGTCAGCCGACGGTCAAATTTTTTAGTAGTTGGCAAGCATTTAATGATAACATGTATATACATATAAATACATGTATATTAAGTATAGCTATACTCACATACATGTGTGTATACATATACATAATTTTATAGGTCTGTATATAGATAAGGAGAGAGAGAGAGAGAGAGAGAAAAAGAGAAAGAGAGAGCACGATAGGTTGAACTGCAACGCGGGCCCTCCGGCCCTCCTGCCCGCTCGACAGCACCGCCGCGCAGCCCCTGCCAGCTTTCCGAGTCGGCCCATCGGTTGGGGACACGCAGGGCGCTCCAGACAGGGCCTCGCCCTCGAGAGATTGAGACATTGGCCTCCCGCCTGCGGCGGAAGGCTGGCGGAGACCATCGGAGGCCGGACGGGGCTGGCGTCGTCGGCGGGTTGCCGGCGGAAGCCGCGGCGGAAGCAGAGGCTGCCCCCTCGGGGCAAGCTTTTGGACCCCAGGGCTTCGGCTGCCGGTGTGGTATCGGTTAACCTAACCCCAACCCCATGAAGCCTCCCACCAGCCCACCCCCTCCCGCCGCCCCCGACTTGGGGATATACCCTCCAAAACCCGAGGGAGACGGCCTATATCCCCATCTCGGGGGGTAAATCCCCAAGTGGAGAAAAGGCCACCTAGATGGGGATAGGGTTCGGATAAACGATGCCAGTGGGCCGTGCGGCAAGGCCACGGGGGCCCCGGCGTCTTGCGGTGCACGGCGGGGGGCGTGCTGCAGCACGGCGGTGGCGGGGGCGGGAGCTTCGCGGCCGAGCTCCGCCCGTCTTCCGGGGGCGCCATGCCGACGGCGTCGTGGAGGGCGGGGGGGCGGCGCCAGTTTCGCCCAGGCTCGGGCCCCCCGAGGGCCCCCCCCCCCCCGCCCCGCATCGGGCAGTGCGGGGCCACCAGCAGGGGGATCGCCACCTCCTCCTGGAGATCCAGGGCCGAGAGGAGGGAGGACTGAGGGTCGAAGGGTCGTCGAGGGTGATCCAGGGGGGATTTGTTTTTTCGAGGAGGCGGCGGCCCCCTCGCCCCGAGTGGTGCCCCCGTGGCGCCGCCTGGACCGAGCGTGGCCGACGTCGGAAGCTCCCCCCCGCGCGCGACGGGGGCCCGACGGGGTGCGCCTCGGGCCCGGCCCTGGCGGGCCCCGCGCCACGGCCTCGCCGCGCAGCTGCCGTGCCCGGCGGCGGCGCGCGCAGGGGGGCGCGGTGCGGGGGCCTGGCCTCGAGAGATGGCGGGGTGGCTCGCAGGTTGGCATCTGGAGGACAGCGTCGTCGTCGTCGTCGTCGTCGTCGTTGAGGCTCGGAAGAAGCCTGGCCTTCTTAAGAGGCCGCCCTGCGCTCCGACGGCCTTCCTCCTCGCGACCGCCCCTCCTCGTGCGCCGCCAAGCGTGTGCTCCACTCGCCCGGCGCACCAGCGGCCGCAGCGGTCCTGGCGCGTCGCCCTTCCTCGCAGGAGCGCCGCGACAAGGACAGGGGCCGCAAGGACGCGGACAGGGACAGGGACGCGGAGAAGCGCCGGGAAAGGGAGAAGAAGGAGAAGCGGCACCCCTCCGCTTCGGGGGCCGCGGCAGGAGAGGACAGCCCCAGAGGGGTGTGGGCATTGCACGTGCAGCGGGAGCGCGCATCAAGAACGCGCACGCATTTCGTCCGGGCACCCTCTTCGCTCCGCGCGCTGCGCGGTGACTTACCGCGGCCGCTGAAGGAGCTGCTGCGTTCAGGGTGCTTCGGGCTCCCCTCGACTTGCATCTCGCGCTTGCGGGTTTTCCTGCGAGGGTTCCTTGCTGCCGCGTCCGCACTGTATCCAGTGGTGCCGACCGCCAACATACTCAACGAGGCTCCCTGGCGAGTGCGTGTAATGCCCACCCCCTGGGCTATCTGCCCCTCTCTGTCGGCCCCTGTCGCTGAAGTAGTTCTTTTGCGCAGCCCTCTCGCTGAAGCATTTCTTCTCTTGTGCAGCTTTGTTCGGGAGCCCGGAGCGCTTTAGTTTCGTCGCTCGTCGCTCGTCCCCTCCTTGGCCACTTCGAGGCTCCCTGTCCCCTGGCCTCCCCCTCGTGGCTCCTGCACAGTTACGTTCGAGAGTTCGGAGCCCTTGACCTTCGTCGTCGTCGTCGTTCGTCGTCGTCCGCCCCCCTGGCCATCACAGACCTCCCTGGCCACTTGCCCCCGGGCCCCCCTCTCTCTTCCGGTCCCTCCCCCCTTTTGGGACGCAGCCTCGAGTTTCGTCGTCCTCGTCGTCCGTCGTACAGTCGGGGCGCTGAAGAAGGAACCCTCTTCGTTGGGGAGGGGCTCGGTGTTCCTTGATTGTTTCAGAGTTTGCCCCGGGTTTTCCTGAGGTCTCCCATGGGAAATCGAGGTTGAATTTACGGGACAAAGGGGCCTCGTTCCTTATCTAGGCTTCCTTAGGTCAACGCCTCGACTGTAGTGCGCATCCATGACCCTCTCGGGCCCCCTCGGCACCGAGGACTTCGGGCCCGCGTCCGGCCCCCCTGTGGGGCTGAGGCGGGCCCCAGGATGGGCCTCGACCCCTCCCTTCTCCTCCTCCTCCTTCTCCTCCTCCTCCTCCCTCCTCCTTCTCCTCCTCCCTCCTCCTCCTCCTCCTCCTCCTCCTCCTCCTCCTCCTCCTTCTCCTCCTCCTCTTCCTCCCGCGTCACGTCGCCGCGTGCCTCGCTTCCTGGGCCCCGCTGCCCCCATCCCTTCCACGGCCGGAAGATGCGAAGGATTTGAGCGCAACGACAACGCCGCGCCAGGAGCCAGCCAGCACGCGGGTGGCCTGAATTGGGTTCGTCCGACCAGAGGGCCATCGCTCCGATAGTGCGATTGGCTTCTTCTCGGCAGTTCATGTCCTGCCCGATCAGGAAAACCATATGCGTGTGCTCGCGTACGCCGAAGTGCCTGTGCTCGTTGGCACGCTCACGCATGTGCAGCCCACGATAAATTACGATAGTGCATGTGCGCCAGTGCCCGTTCGAGAGACCACGCCGTCATGTGTCCTGCTTGGACACAGGCTTCTCATTTCAATTGCACCTGCGTGCGGAAGTTTGCGTCGTAGTCACCGTGCAAGGAGAGGGTGAAAGAGAAGAGCCGCGAGAGGGAGAAGAGTCAGGAGAAGCTTGCGCCCCAGCGTGATGTCTTGACACTCGTGGAGAGCAAAATAGGCAACGCCCCTGGGTCAGTTTCAGTATTCCTCGTCGTTGCCGAGTGCTTGGCTTCATATGGAGCGATCAGGCATGATGGACGACAGCTGGTTGGTAGAGAGCAGACACGAGTCGAGCAGATGATGGTCATTTCAGATTGATACAGTTTTACGATGTCATACGATATTCGTGTCTAAGGAATGTCGCATGTGGTTTTGACATTCAGGAAGGGCTTGCCAACTGTTCGCTTGTGGTTGGTGGATAATTTACGCAGCTTGCGGTTCAATTCAGTAGCAACAGACGTAGCAGTAGATTTTGATGATGTCTCAGCAGTACTCGCAGGGGTAGTAAGTCTAATATTGACCTCGGTTTCATTAGCAGGCAAGTGTTGACACCATCCGTTCGTGCGGTGGCCAAGGTCACCTCCGCCACCGCCGAGGGACGAAAAGGAGGAGTTAGCCAAGAGGGAACGGCAGAAAGCGCTGGAGGACATGTTAGTGGAGGAGGACCCCAGCCAGCTTGGGGCTTTCTGTGAGTGGTCTGGTGAGCATGTGCAGTTTGACGAATGGCCGCGATCACGGCGCTTTTGGAAAGGTTGGACTGCGTTGAGCAGTGCTTGGAGAACCACGGCCTTGTCATTGATGTGGCTTGTTGATGATCCGCGACCTGAGAATCGCACCATCTCGTTGGATATGCCAAGGGCAAAGGTGCCCTGAAGGAGCGGCACAAGTGTCGGAAACAACCAAGCAACATTCACGCGTAACATACACTTTGAACTCCCCATCCCCCTCCCCTCCCTCGAATGCAACGTTGGTTTCGGATCTTCCGAGCTTCAGTGCCTGATCGGTTGTGCGTGAACGTGCCAACTTTGGATGGCGGGTGAGGGGGGAAGTGTTGCTCCATTCCCCCCCACCCCCCCCAGACCGCAGGGATTCCACGCCCACTGTGGTTGGATTTCGCGTTCCCAAAGGCCACGAAGTTCTAGCCACGGCAGGCGCAGGCGCCCCTTGCCGCGGCCGCGAGGCAAGGGCTGCGCTTGCCCTGGCCGGCCCCTTGGAGAGCCATGCCCAGGGATGTGTTTCTTCGCTGGGCGCTTCTGGACCCACTGCGTCTGAAGTTATCATTCACAAGAGCGCGCTCGTGCACGATTGACTCATACGTGCAAGATGCCCGTGCGCACAGGTTTCACCACGCGCGGACATGCACGTGCACAGATGAACATGCGCATACACGCGAGCAATCAACACGATACGCATGCGCACAGACATGATGGACTTGTGGCTTGCAGGTTTCATACATGCGAAATATTCCAGCAATCGTGATCGCGTTGCCTTTGAGCGCGTCAGTTGGCAGGGTATGTTGGCCAAGACTGTAGCTGCCCAGGGGCTTTCGATGGAGCTCCCTTTTTTTGTTTTGTTTTTCTCTTTCTCTCTCGATGTATACATATATCTAGATGTGTGTGTGTGGGTGTCTGTCTGTCTCTTGCTTGCTGCTCGGAAGGAGGTGGCCCGGCGTTGCGACGCCGAGCTGCAGCGGCGCTTTGAGCAGACGATCGCCAGCGAGGCCTCAAGCTCCGCAGCCCCCCCCCCTACATCCCATCTTTTCCTGCCATAGGGGACTTCTCCCGTGCCGGCACTCGCCCTTCACGCCCACGTCCGAACTTGAGACATCCACGTCCCGCCCCACGCCCCACTTCTTGCTGCTGTGAGGGGAGGGGGGTGAGGGGTGGAGGGCAGGGCTCAACCCCTCGCCGCGCGCCCTCCCTCCAATGCCCGCTCGTATCGCGCATCTGTTGCCAGCCTTCCTGTCGAGGTGGGTCCTTGTTCTCCCTCCCCTGCTCCGCGCGACTCCCGCCTTCCTCCCGCCTCCCGCCCCCTCCTCCCCCCTCCCGCCCCCCTCCTCCCCTTCCTGCAGGTGCTGCCGCTGCCCCTCGCCGCTGCCGTTGGTGCCGCCCTGCTGCATCTGCGCTGCCGGCCGCTGCCGTTGCCGATGCTGCCTGCCCGATCTGTGGCACACCCCCTTCACGCCTCGTGCCCCGCGGGCCGTGGCCATCTTGGCTCAAGCTCGAGCGCACGGCCTCAGCGGGTGGGCTCTCGGGGCCCTCGTGGGCCGCCTTGGGGCGATCCTCGGGGCTCCTGGGCCGTCATTGGGCGCTGTGAAGACCCAAGATGCGGACGTGCTGAAGCTGCACGCTTTCGTAAACTCGGCATCGCTCGGACGTGTGCGTTTTTTTGTTTCTCGGCGAGAACCATCGAGGACCATCCTGGACCATCGAGCAACAAAAAAAACGCACGAAACTGAAAAATACACGGGAAATGGACGTCCGAGCGACGGCAAGTAAAGCAGTGGAGCAGTCTTGACCTGCCGGGGCAGGTGGACAGCGGAGAGGGCCTCGGATCCGACACTCGAGGCGCGCAGAGACGGTGAACGAGCAGCAGGCACGCTGCAGGGGCCCCCGCGGCGCGCCGGCTCGCGCCCGGCGCATGGCCCCAGACTGCTTCGGGCAGCACCCTGCGGGGCTTCTCGGAGTCACCGGTGCAGCTCGCGACGTCTGGGTAAGCACGTCTTTATTGTTTCATGGATGTGGGTATGTGAATGTATGTTGATGTTCTCCTAGCTTATGTTAGGTCATGTCGAAAGTGTGATATGTTGTTGGATTTGATGCTAGATATGCCGAAGTTGTTTTGTATAGTGACACTTCGTATACGTGGACCGTCCAGTAGTGCGGGCGCTGCTTGCGCCTGCGGCGTGTCCTGGGCCGACGTGGCTACGGGAAAGACACGGGAAGGGTCCACTGCGAGCACCTGGCAAACCTTGCTCACCTGGCGCACGCGTCGCACCTGGCGGGGGCTGGGTCGGTGCACCTGGGATGTTGAAATATGTGATGCTCCAGGCGTCGGGATATCGGGCGGACCGCGCGAGAGCGGCTGCCCCATCGTCCTCGGGGTCGTCCTTGGAGACGGGCGTGGCGGGCGCACCTGGCGAACTTGGAGCACTGCGCGCACCTGGCAAACCTTGCTCACCTGGCGCACGCGTCGCACCTGGCGGGGGCTGGGTCGGTGCACCTGGGATGTTGAAAAATGTGATGCTCCAGGCGTCAGGATGACGTGAGTCCACGACCTGCGCGGGAATGCCGTAGAACTTGTACAACTTGTAAAGCTTCCGCGTAAAGCTTGTTGGCAAAATACGTAAAACTCGCACAACTTGTCAGAATGATTTGTTTGTATATTGAAAGTCTTCTTTGTTTACAAGTTTTACAAGTTTTACGTATTTTCCCAACAAGTTTTAAGCGCAAGTTGTACAAGTTGTACAAGTTTTACGCGTTTCCCTGATGCGGCGCCCCCCCCCCTCCCCCCACCAGGGATCGGGCGGACCGCGCGAGAGCGGCTGCCCCATCGTCCTCGGGGTCGTCCTTGGAGACGGGCGTGGCGGGCGCACCTGGCGAACTTGGAGCACTGCGCGCACCTGGCAAACCTTGCTCACCTGGCGCACGCGGCGCACCTGGCGGGGGCTGGGTCGGTGCACCTGGGATGTTGGAAAGTATGATGCCCCAGGCGTCCGGATGGCACATGTGCGCGAAACTAACTCCCTCACATGACAATGGTGGTGGCATCGGCGTTGTCGACGGTGATGCTGGAGGCGCATGCGTTGACGATGAAGTTGGTGTGCGGGAGTCGTTCCGTGATAGTGGTGGTCACCACCTTCCGAGCTTCTTGAAAAGCCCGCGCGCCCTTGGACAGACGACGCGCCCTGGCAGGCCCGCGCCCCCCTTCCTTTTGCGTGGAGAAGTGCATGGAGCTGGTGCAACTGGCACAACCAGTTCTTTGCCGGACCTGATTTTTGGTTAGCAGTTCGTGGACCAAGTGCATGGCCAGTTCTACGACCAGTTCTGTCCAGTTGTACCAGTTCTGCGCAAGCAGAGGCATGCGACGGGGGCGCAGCGCCCTGGTTCACTCCTCGAAGTCCGCGCCCTTCGCGGCCAGCAACGCGGTGCAGCGCCGTCATGGACTTCACCAGTGGCTCAAGGGTGGCCGAGGGGACCCGCATGATGGTGCGCTTCAGGCGCCGAATGAAGGCGGCCCTGCTCTCCCTCTTGGACGGCGGGAACTTCGCCTCCTGGCCCCGCAGGCGCTTATTGAGCATGGACCACAAGCCGCAGTCAAGGGGGTTGAGGTCCGGGCTGCGCTTGGGGAAGGGAATGCACTTCACCTTCTCCTTCGCCCGAAGGCAACCCGCCCCCCTGAGCGCGCCTTCGCCGAGCCGCGGGGCCAGCGGGCCCGTGGCTTCGAAGGAGGCGCGCCGAAAGATGGAGCCGCCAATTGGACAGTCGAGGATGGGCCTTAGCCTCTTTGCTGAGCTTGGCCTTGTAGCCCGTCGGGTCGTTGTCCTCCAGAATGAGGAAAGACCGCGGCTTCACGTTGGCCTTGCGCAGCGCCGGGGCCAAGGCCTCCTGGTGCATCTCCGCCGCCGTCGCCGCGTTCCAACGTCCGTCCACAACGTGGCACATGAGCACCTTCTTTGCGGAGATGGCCACGGCCACGTTGACGTTCTTGCCGAAAGAAGACTTGTTGCTTTTCCTCGGCTTAACGTGGCCCTTGGCGAGACCGTTGCCTTTGGACCTGTAGGAACCCCGCGCGGTACGCTTCGCAGCGTACGCCCGCGCCGTCGCCGTCGGACAACTTCGGCATATGTAGCATCAAATCCAACAACATATCACATTTTCGACATGACCTAACATGAACTAGGATAACACCAACGTAAATTCATATACGCACATCCATGAAACAATAATAATATGCTTACCCAGACGGTGCCCGGACAAAAAGTGTCCACACCCATCGCGCTAAGATGATACGACATCGAAGTCAGTCGAACAAATATCCGTAGCCCCCGCCCCCCAACTCAAAGTTGGCGGGGTCAGCTGCGAGGCAACGCGCGAGGGACAACATGTGGACACTTCAACTTTGAGTTTTGGGGGGGAGGGGGGCGAGTCAAATGTAGATTGCAATTGTTGTTGCCATCATGTCTGACTGCCTTCTCGCCGTCGGTGTGGACACTTTTTGTCCGGGCACCGGAGCTCTGGATTGCTTCGAAGGATAAATCGTGGGGGGGGGGTCGGACGGGCCCAGGTCCAGGATAAACGGCTCCAGAGCGCTCTGGAACGCTCTCGGAGCGCTCTGTGGCGCTCTGGAACGCCCGCGGCGCTCGATACATCCTCCAGAGCCGCCGGATCTCGGAGATCCCCGATTGGTCCAGGTCCGATTTGGTTGGTCCTGGTCCTGGCCTCGTCGTACTGCTGCTGCCCCCAATCCTGGGCGCCAGAGGCAGCAGGGCATGGGTAAAGCAGCATCGTGGCTCCCGAGGCCAGACTTGTGCCCATGCCGCCACTCTCTGGCCCCTCGTGGGTCCGGGGCGCGAGGAGGGGCATGGGCAGAAGGTCGAGCGCCTGAGTATTCTTCACCATGCCACTCTGGCCCCTCGTGGGGTCGGGACGTGAGCAGGGGCATGGACAGAAGGTCGAGCGCCTAAGTATTCTTTACCGTGCCGCTCTGGCCCCTCGTGGGGTCGGGGGGAGGAGCACGGGCATGGGCAGAAGGTCGAGCGCCTGCAGTCGGCCCAGATGAGTAGGTCGGCCCTGCCAGATCCAGGGCACCCTCGTGTCCCGTGTCTCGCGACCCACGCCTCCCGCACTTTTGTGGCAGCGTGCCCCTCGGAAGGCTCTTTGGTCCTCTCGCGCGCCCTCTCCAAGCAAGTCCGACGGTATTCTTCACCTTGCCGCTGCTTGGAGCACGGGCGACGTCTCGGCGCGCGCGGCGCGCGCTGCTCGGCGCGCGCCCTGCTGGCCGCGCGGCGCTGGCGCTCCCGAGCGCGCGGCACGCCGAAAGGGCGGCGCGGAGCTCGTCCCCGGGGGGGCACCCCGCAGGAGAGCACGCGGAAGGGCATGTTGCGCCAGATGGCGAGGTGGTCAGGGGCACTGCTAGGGGCGAGGACGATCAGGGGCGCTGAGGCTCGATATGTTCGGGCGTTCTCGTCGGTTCTCGGCGGTTTTCCAGCCTCGGGATTCTCTCCAGCGGCTCCGCCTCGCCGCGGGCGTTCTGAGGGTGCCTGGATCGTCCCGAACGGCCGCCGAGTTGTGGCCCGAAAACTTAGGGGCGACGTTAGGGATAGGCTCAGCGGGGACCGTGTCGACCCCCGATCGCCCACTGATCGCCGATAGAGGCCCGGTGGCCCCGCCGCGCCCAGGCGCATGCGGATTCGCTTTCGAGGGCCTATCGCCGATCTATTCTCGATGTGCCGGCGATTCCAGATCGATGTCCCCCCCTGAACTGGTTCTTGCTACAGCCGGGGCCCTGAAGAAGGAACCCTTTTCGTTGGGGAGGGGCTCGGTGTTCCTTGATTGTTCGACAGTTTGCCTTCTGTTTTCCTGCGGGCTTCCATGGGAAATCGAAGTTCAACTTATGGGAGAAAGGGGCCCCGTTCTTTATTTAGGGTTTCTTAGGTCAACGCCCCGACTGTAGCGTTGTTCTTCAATGTGGAACGACATGGTGTACCAGATGGGCTTCGGCAGCGGGGGCGACCAGGAGGCCAAGCCCGCCCCGAGGACCTCCAGGAAACGAGGGGCAGCGCGGGCGATGTGTCCGAGGAAGCCGCGGGAAGCCTCCTGGGTGGCGTCGAGAGGACAGCATGCAGACCGGGCCAAGAGTCACGGGAGCGGAGCACAGGAGGCGATGGGAGCAGATCAAAGGCGAATTCGGATAGAAGCTGGACGCTGCGAGCGCCAATATGCGAAGCGTCTGAGGCAACCTCTAGGACCCCAAGGAGAGCACCGAGCCCGCGGTGAGCGACCGGATCGAACGTGTCGCGACCACGTCGGTCGCCGCGGCCTTCGATGCCCCGCAGCTCTGGCCGCCCCCGCCAGCTCCGCCGCGGCATCGGCAGCCGCCCCCGCGGGCCTGAGGCGCGCCATGCTGTCGCCGCCGCCCCCGGGCACGCCGCGCCGCTGCGCGCTGGAGCCGCTCGGCACCCAGGGGCACCACCGGCAGCGGCGTCTGCGGCCTTCGGCGCAGGATGCTCCACGCCCCGGGGCAGCCCGGCGGAGGTGGCCGAGCTTCAGGCCTCGGGATGGGGTCGGAGCCGACGAGAGCGGAGGATCGCGCCGCATCGCCGAGGAATCGGCGATGCGGCTCGATGTGGAGCCCGATCTTCTCCACGTCGACGTCGCCCATGCATCGCCGATGCATCGCCGATGCGGCGCGATCCTCCGACCCCATCTGCTCCGACCCCCTCTGGGATGCCTCTACGAGGGCGTGGTGGCGGCGGCTCTGCGCCGTGGCGCCCGCGCGGGCACCCCCTCCCGGGCGGCGGCTACCGGGGAGCCGCCGCGCGCCGAAGAAAGGCCCTCCGGGCCTCGACATCCCGGGGACTCACCGACACCGACGACGGGCGCGCGGCGCGAGGCGAGGCATTGCGACCGCTCGACCAAGGGATGCGAAGAGTGAGCGAGCGAGTGGGGCAATCAATCGACGATGTGGCAGCTGGCAGTGGCCCCCCCCTAACCTCTTCTGGCACCGCGAGGAGGGAGAATTCCTCGACGGCCCCGTGCCGAGCTTGCCCACCTTCTTCCAGAGCGGACAAACCCGCGTGAAGACAGCTGGCCACGGAAAGACAAAGATTTCGCACAGTACGCACATACGCCTCGCCCCGTCGCCGTCGTCGACGTGTTAGAGAAGCCCGTGTGAAGGGACAAAGTTGTCCAAGCAATGGGTACGCCCTCAATCCAGAAAGCTAAGCTGCAAGCCCACCCACTGATTTGAGTATTTCCAGGTTGCTGGAAGATACAGTCAACCCGCATAATAAGGATGGGCAGCCTTCCCAAGGGTACCCTTGCATCCTTGCCCCCTCGGTCCATCCTTCGCCACGTTCTTTGGCCGCGCCCCGCTCGAAGACCTTCGAATTGGGCGTCCAAGGCCCTTGCATCCTTATCGCGCATCCTCACTGCACGGGTTGACTGTACCGCCTGAAGGGTGAAGGGTACGCATGATCCCCCACGGGCTGGACCTGGAAAAGTAGAAACACTCCCCTGAGCGTGTGGATCAGCGCCAGGGATTTGCCCTCACGGTTTCCCTCTTCTCCCGGGGACCGAACGTTGCACGCGACAATTCGGACAGCAAGCTCCACGCCGCCCGACCACAAGCGCACAATTCAGACAACGATGCCGCTCCGCCTCCCTCGAGGTTCTGCAACATCGTGTCAAGTACTTCCCATGGCACAGCAAACAAGGAGCAAGCGCACTTCGGCACAACTCAAGCAAAGATACGGTCAGAAACACTTGCTTCGCGTGTTACTCCGCCAGTTCACCACACTTCGGCGCGACACACGAATCATTTCCCAATTCCCAGGCGTCAGCCGTCCCGAGCCTGTCCAAGCCTCCCGCCCCGCGGAGCGGAGCGACACGCTATCAGCTCGCAGGGCATCGCGTGTCGCCAGTGCGTCCCCCGCGACAGGCTAAGCAAAAAAGCTCCTCACGGTGGAGTGATGGATGCATTTGTTTGCTCGCCTTCGCCGTCGAGAAGGGCCGGATACGCTGAGGCAGGGGGACGAGAAGTCCCGCGGACGCTTCGCTCGGATGCCTTGACGAACCCCGATAGCGCCATAGCGAGCGCGGGAAGCGCAGCTCAGCGAGCCAGCGAACCGAGAAGGTTGCGGACACGTCGGCCAACCTCCAAAAGGAACTGCTCCAGATCACGGTGCAGGGTATTGTTGTTTGGAGAGGAAATTTGCAATTTGACGACGAGTAGATTTGACCTGTGATGGCCGGCTCGAAACATTACATCGGGCGCTTGAAAAACGGCATGGCGAGCCAATGAGCGAAGATGAAGACCGCAACAGGCGAAACCTCAGCAGAGATCATACCTTCGCGTCAGCACGGCAGAGGGCGGTCGCTTCGCCCCAAAGCACGGAGATGCTCGCTTCGATATCTGAAGCAATACGCAAACTGTGCATTGATGTTGTTCTGCGCGACATGCCAGCACCTCATCACAACGGATTGGTTGTGTGAGAATGCAACCGGTAAGATGTTTCCATTCGTGCCTCAAAATGGGCACAGGTTTGGTCGCCAGGCGTGCGGAATGTACGCTCCAGAAGATGATCAGTAGAGACATGCGTTGACAACGCGGGGGCGCTGAAGTTGATATCGATGAAGATTGCTTGAGCTTGAATTTCAACACTGACATGACCGACACGACAAAATGGACACTGATGGGATTAGGCAAGTGTTGTGCAGGAAGGGGCCCAAACGAACATCTACCACAATTGCGCAGTACGGCTCATGAAATTTGCGAGAATAGCAAAATAGTGGATGTATTTTCCGGATGAGCACGAATAGGTTGAAGCTTTTTGCACGTCATGCCCAGCGACGAGTTGCATGTTTGGTTATATCTATATATATATATATATATATATACATATACAAGTGTGCATGGGCGCTTCGCGCCATGCACACTGTTCCTTGTGAGTTCGAATGCAGGCGGAGTGCGCGCGCGTGGACGTGGGGCCGGCCACCGCCAAGTCGGAGTGGGTCAGGATCTCCTAAGCGGGAGCGACTTGATAACGCCAGCTCTGGCCAGCTCAGGGCGTTTCTGTGCCCAGAGGCGCGAAGAAGTCTCAGGCGACTGGTTGGGATAGAATGAAGCAGGGCATCCTCCTCATCTTGCTCTTCCTGCGCATTTTCCTCCCCCCTCTTTCTCCTCTTCATCTGAATCCTCTTTCTGCTCTTCCCTCCTTTTCCTCATTCCGCTTCCTTCTCCTCTCCCTTCTCTTTTCCTCTACCTCTTCCTGCTTTTCTTCCACTTGCTATTTTCGGCATGCGCGCTGCTGTGCTGCCAGCTTCTTGCAGATGGCGCTCCTGTTGTTCCGTTGTTTCGCTTCCTGTTGTCGCTTCCGATTGGCTCTTGAGGCGTCTAGATGCCTCCAAGACCGCCCCAGATGAGTCCCCAGACGAGCCCCAAAGAGACCCAAGGTTGGCGCAACTGGGCCCGGGGAGTGGGGCCCAAAAATGGACAACTGTAGGAAACTCATTGGACAAGCCAAGTTTTTGGTTTTCTCGCCTTGTCGCTTCCGATTAGGTCTTAAGGCGTTGAGACAGCTCCAAGACGTCTCCAACTGAGCCCCCAGGCGAGCCCCAAAGAGGCCCAAGGCTGGCGCAACAGGGCCCGGAGATGGCGCAACTCGGCCCGGGGAGTGGGGCCCAAGAGTGGACAAAAGTAGGAAACGCATTGAAAAAACGAGGTTTTGGGTCTTCTCGCCTTGTCGTTTCAGATTGGCCCTTGAGGCGTCGAGACAGCTCCAAGACGTTTCCAACCGAGTCTCCTGACGAGCCCCAAAGAGGTCCGAGGCTAGCACAGCAGGGCCCGGAGAGTGGGAAAAGCAAAGAAAACGCAGTACAAAAGCAATGTTTTCGGCCTTTCCGTTTTTTCACTTCCCGTTGACTCGGGGAGCGTCCAGACGACCCGTGGACGGCCACAGGGAGGCGCAAGACAGGCCTGAGGATTCGAAAGTCTATGGGGGAGGGCGGGGGAAAGGGGCGCTCCCCGGTCCTATAGATAGGGCCCGGAGAGGGGGCCCAGAGATGGACAAATGTACGAAAATTGCAAGAAAAACGCAGTTTTTGGTCTTCTCGCCTTGTCGCTTCCGATTGGCTCTTGAGGCGTCGAGATGCCTCGAAGACGGCTCCAGATGAGGCCACAGACGAGCCCCAGAGAGGCCCAAGGCTGGCGCAACAGGGCCCAGAGAGTGGGACAAACAGAGGAAACGCAGTATAAAAACAATGTTTTCAGCTTTCTCGCTTGTACACTATCGCCTGACTCGGGGGGCGTCAGGACGACCCCAGGATGGCCACAGCAAGGCGCAAGACAGGCCCGAGGAGGCGAAATTCGTTTTCGGGGGGGGGGGGGGGCTGGGGGGCTGGCTCCCAGGCCCTTTAAAAATATATAAATAAGAATACGTGTACACAGGAATTCACAAACACAGTTTCATATATACATGTTGAAATCCGCAATGTTCTGTGTTGTGGCAGTTGGCTGTAGTGTGTTCTCCGATACGCTGTGCGCTCATCGCCCGCTCGTTTGTAAAGCTCGCTGGCAGAGTCGAAGATGGCCCCAAGAGAGACACGCCGAAAGACTTGCAGACGGCCTGGAGGCCAAACGTGGCCCAGACACCGTTCAAACTTGCCCCGGCGTGGAGCACAGACGGCCCCGGCGGTCCCAAAATTGGACTCCTCCCGCCCTCGGTGGCGGACCCTGCCATCCGGGCTGCTCCTGCGGCGAGGCGTTCAAGCAGATGGTCAGGGAGAAGGTGGAGCAGAGAAAGGACATGGCCCCGCAGCGCCGACCGCGGGGTTTCATCATCGAGGTTCGAGGATTCATGTTCTCCTAGTGTTGGGCGTTTTGTTTTATCTGGCTGCCTGCGGCAAACTCCGCCACTGTGCCCGTGCAACAACAGCGCGGCAGGAAGGAGACCGAGTGCAGGAGCAGCGCAATTCCGACGATTCGTCTGAACTCGGACGAGTCGTGAATTCGACCTCGACTTCGTCCGTGCGGATTGGAGGGGATGTCGAGTTCAGGCCCTGCTGCAGTTCAGAGAGCGAACTGAATTGAGGCGGGTCGCGAACTCGACCTCACCTTCGTCCGCGCTGCAAGGAGGAGGAGGAGGATGAGGAGGAGGAAGGACGAGGAGGAGGAGGAGGTGAAGGAGGTGGACAAAACGAACACAAGGAGGAGAAGGCCTCTTAGGGGCTCTCGTAGGGCCTTCTGGGAGCCCTCTAGGTGCCTCTTGGGGGGGCTCTGCGGGACCTCTCGGGAGCCTCTTGGGGCTTCTCGGGCCGTCTTAGGGGGGGGGACCTTTGCCCGTCTGACGCCTTCGGAGGCTGTCTTGGTTACCTCTCTCGACCATCTTGGCGCCCTCTTGGAGCGCTTCAAGGCAGTCTTGGAAGATTCTTGGGCGATCTTGGTGTCCTCTTGGGCCGACTTGGGACCCTCTTCGAGGGCCTCATGGGCTATTTTGGAGCTATCTTGCAGGTCTCTTGAGTCCTCTTGGGCAGTCGGAAACCTAAACAGGTTGAGAAGGTGGAACTCTTGTTCCCAATATGCGTTTTAGCAAGAGAGGCTCCTTCCATGCAGTAACGACTGGTAATCCGAGACCTCTGCCAATTTTGTTGATGCGGCTGTTGCTCGTTACTATTTTGTTGATCAGGCTGCCGTTGACGCGGTTGCTGCTGAAATTGCCATTGCTGCCCATGGTGCGGTTGCTGCTCATGTCATCGTTGCTGTTCACGTGGTTATTATGGTGTTGTGGTCATCCTGTGGCTGCGGTTCCTGTTGCCGTTGCTAGTCATGTGGTTGTTATGTTGTTGGTGTTGTTATGACTATTGTTGTTGTTGCTGGTAGTGTTCTGACTTTTGTTGTTGACATGTTGCTGCTCGTCTTACCAGTGCGTAAAAGGTGAGTTTGATGCTGCCACTGCTCATCATATCGCTGCTCACGTCGTCGTTGTTGTTCCTGCGATAATGTTGTTGCTGCTCTAACTGGTGTTGTAATTGTCATTCGTACTGTCACTATGATGTTCATACGGTTATTGGAGATGTTGCCATTACCGTTCACATGGTTGTTCTGTTCGTGTTACTAGTGCTGTTGTTAGCATTATCATTGTTGTTGTGTTTGCTGTCGTTGTGGTGGGCTGGAGGCCTCTGCTGGCTCTGTGGGTCAGCTGTGGGCTGGGCGCCTTGGCCTTCGAAAAGTCGCGACCCTCACATGGCGCCCCTCCTGGTAAGCCGGAGGCAAGCCACCAATAGTCATTGAGTTTTGCACAAAGAATCTGATAGGTCTGAAACTTTGATTCTTCTTGAAATCTCCTTCTCCTCCTTCTCCTCCTCCCTCTCCTCGTCGTCCTCCTCCTCCTCTTTTCTTGTCCTCGTCCTACTCCTTGGCCTTCTTGTCTACCTGTTTTTACTTAACAGCGAAGACTGATAGGTTTCTAATGGGGTCAAAAGAGAGCATCTGATGACTCCCCAGGGGGGTCTGGGCGGGAGCCGGACAGGCGAGGGCCGGGCTCGTTTTAAGCCAACAGTCAAACACTTCGTGCTCTTCGACCTCCCAGAACTCCATTCCCGGGCCACGTTTTGAATGCCCGGAGCCAAGTGTAGGCCATTTCGTGCTCTTCGACTTCCTAGAACTCCATTCCCGGGCCACATTTTGGATGCGCGGAGCCAACTGTAGGCCACTGCGTGCTCTTCGACTTCCCAGAACTCCATTCCCGGGCCACATTTTGGATGCCCGGAGCCAACTGTAGGCCACTTCGTGCTCTTGGACTTCCCAGAACACCATTCCCGGGCCACATTTTGAATGCCCGGAGCCAACTGTAGGCCACTTCGTGCTTTTCCACTTCCCAGAACTCCACTCCCGGGCCACATTTTGATTGCCCGGAGCCAACTGTACGCCACTTCGTGCTCTTGCACTTCCCAGACTTCCAAGACTCATCATTTTCATCATCATCATCATCGTCCCCGTAGCCTTCTTGGCTACAGCCCTGCTTTCGAAGATTTCCTTTCACAGGAACTGCGCAGCGCCTACTGCACACCTTAATGCCAGGACATGCTGATAGTTCTCGGTCTGGCGGCGGTGCTCCTGACCCTGCTGCATTGAACAGCGGTGCTCCTCAGCCTGCGGCAGGGAACAGCGCTGCTCCTCAGCGTGCTGCATTGAGCGGTCCTCTGCAAACGCTCGTCGAGCACGTGAAGCAGTTCGGCCGGATACCGAAGCGAAATAAAGGAACGTCCGAACAAGAACGGGCCGAAAACAAGTTGGCCAAATGGATGCATTGTTGATAGCAGTGTCTCGTTTGGAATCACATCCGTTGATAGCAGTGTCTTGTTTAGACCTCAGTGCATTTGTACAAAGATCTCATCTGGAGATACCGTTATCGAAAGCAGTGTTTCTACTGCTACTACCACTGCTCCCATCACTCCTACTCGTTCACTCCACACTACAACTACTACTTCACTGTTGCCACTACTACCATCACTACTACTTCTACTGCTACTACTACTGTTACTATTACTGCTGCTGCTGCTGTTGCTGCTGCTAGTGTAGCTATTGCTACTGCAACTACTGGCAGTGCCACTGCGACTGCCGGTGATGCTGCCACTGCGACTGCCACTGCGAATCCGAATGCGACTGCGAGAACACCAGAATTCTACAACAGCGCTCTTACATGAATACCACAGGCAATGTTTCCAGCTATGCTTCTACACATCGATGTTAGGTTGCTTTGCCGGGATAATCTTTGCCTGCTTTTACTCATCCTGTTACTCCTCTTCCTCCACAGATCAGCTTGGAGGCGATGCAAGACCCACCCAGACATCCCAACATCGATATCTCGGGGAAAAATCAATTAGCCTCCTAGGACCCCGAACTTCATTATCCCCATGGTGTGATTATCACCGGCGCAGGGTTAGTGTCTCTCACGAGGATAGCGCTCCTCCTGGTAAGTTGCAGGCCTCTGCCAGCTCTGTGGGTCAGCTGTGGGTCGGGCGCTTCGGCTTGCGAAAGATGGCGACCCTCACAAATATGGAGCTGGCTCTGCTGGCTCTGTGGGCCAGTCGTGGACCAGGCGCTTTGGCTGTCGAACTGGCCACCCCCGCAGGGATGGAGTCATTCCTGGTGGGCCGGAGGCGTCTGCTGGCTCTGTGGGCCAGCTGTGGACAGAGGGCCTCGGTCTTCGAACAGTGGCGAACCTCACACGGATGGCCCCTCCTGGTGGGCCAGGGCCTCTGCCGGCTCTGTGGGCCGGGCGTCGCTGCCTTCGCAAAGTGGCGACCATCCCGAGTATGGCGCTCCTCCTGGTGGGCTGGAAGGCCTCTGCCAGCTCTGTGGGCCAGCATGGGCCGGGCGCCTTGGCCTTCGAAGAGTGGCCACCCCCGCAGGAGTGGCGCCCCTCCGGGTGGGCCAGAGGCCTCTCCAGGCTCTGCAGGCCAGCTGTGGTCTGGACGCCTTGGTTTTCGAAAAAGTGGCGACCCTCACGAGGTCCAGCTGTGGGGCAGGCGCTTTGGTTTTCGAGTCATACACATATTTGGGGTCGCCGTTGGGGTAATTTTAAACAAATGCGCAAGAAACATCAATGTGGTTCGCCTTCTCGGGCTCTACTGCAGGGCCTCTTGGAGTGCCCTTGAGCCGTCTTGGAAGCATCTCGAGCCGTCCTGTGGCCGCTTGGAAGCTTCTTATGCCGTCTTGAGCGTTCTTGGGCCGTCTTGATTTCATCGTTGGTGCTTTGGAAGCCGTTTTGAGAGCCATCTTTGCCGTCTGGAGGCGGAAGAGCGCTGTAAAGCAAATTCGGGGGGGGCGGTCTTTGAGGGGCGTGTCCGGGTCATCAGGGGCGAGGGTCGGCCTTAAAAGCATTAAGAAACCTCAGACAAGAGACGAGCATTCTAACACGCCCACTCCGCCCAGGCACGGTGGCAGACCTTTTCGGGGGCCTTCAAGAGACTTCTCGTCGCCTCGGCTGGAATGCCTTCGAAACTTTGGCCCCCATGCACCGTGGAAGAGGTCCAGGGGCCGATCTCTCATGGGTGCCAAGGTTTTCGGCTGTTTCGGGGCCCCGTGTCCCATCCCGGGCACCGAGAGTGTGTGAAGCAATTGCGCACGCAGGTTGGAGGTGCGGCCCCGCAAGGGGGAAGCTCCGTGGGTCTGGGATCCGTTTCCCTCAGGATCTGTCGCGCTGCGACAGCGAATTGTAGCGGACTTGCTCGGTTGTCCGAGTATTTGGGTGCCGATCTTCCCAGGCGGGCGAGCACGCAACCAAAAAAGTCGGGGATTGCCGGAGGAAGGGCCTCGAGTGGAGGAGCATGGGCGCCAGAACCGTGTGCGGTAAGAATTTGGCGGACCACGGCTTTGAGAAAGGGAGAGAACGCCAGCAGAGACGTACAGTTGGGCGTGCCATGGTTCGTTCCGAGGGGAGAGGAAATGGAGCAGGAGGAAGGCAAGGAGTGAGAACGCTAAAGCATGTACTTAGTTGCGTTGCGCTTCTCATTTCGTGGGTCCGCCCATGATACACAGATTTGTATACAAGGTCGGTTTATATCATAATACATTTATTTGTAAACATGTACATCTACACAAGACTGCATTGGCGCTTCGTGCCATGCACCTTGGTCCATGAAGTTTGGCATCCAGGCGGAATGGCAGGAAGGTCAAACAGACAATACAGCGATAATGTTTAGTTGCCTTTTCGGCATCGCCGTTATGATGATGTGACTCGTCATCCCTCCTCCGTGCTAATTTTTCCTCATTCTCGCCCCACCCTGCGAATCCTTCCCCATCCTCCTCAGCTCTTTTTGCATCGCCGTTATATTAATAATATTATCAGTCCTTCCTCCATGCTTCTTTTTCCTCCTGCTCGCCCTACCCTGCGAACTCTTCCCCGTCCTCCTCAGCTCTTTTTGCGGAGGCTCACGGATGGTTTTCATGCTTTCTTGAGGCTTTCTGGGGGCCTCTTGGGCGTCTTTTGGGAGCCTGTGGGGGCTTCCTCGGGCCACCCTGCCTCCAACAGCGGTCTCCCTGAACGACGGGTTCACTATGTGGAAAGCTTCGGATGGTGTCTTGGGGCCCCATCTTGGGGCGTCATGGGGCTCTCTTAGGCCATCTTGGAACCCTATTGTGCCGTCTTGGGGCTCTCCCTGGACTGCCTGGAAGCCATTCCGGATGGTTTGGGGGCGCTTTTCGAGCCTCCCAGGCGGTCTCGGACGCCCACGAGACCGAAGAACAGAGCATTCCAAAAATCATGCAGCAACCTTGGCAAATCAATGCTCTTCTCCGTTTGGGAAGCCTCTTGGGGATCTTCTTGGGGTCGTCTTCGGGTATCTGGTTTGTGTCGAGGGCCTCTTGGGGCCCCGCCGCCCTCCTGAACGATCTGGGCCAGTTGCCTGAGCCCAGCAAAGACTTTCGGGAGCTCTGAAACGCCTTGGGGGCCTCCGGCAGGGACGCCCAGGGGGTCCCCGGGGCCACGGATCTGGTGGGTCCAGAGGGTCTTGGGGGCCCGGGATTCAGGGGGTCCGATTTCGGGGGGGTCGGGGTCTTGAGCAATAGAAATATGTGAACGAGAACATGTATATTCTCATGTGCAGAGTCCGCAGGGGCTATACGAAGAGGTGGCGACCAAACCCGATTGCGCGGATAGCGAAACCTACCTGGGCTTCCACACGCACAGCTATCGTAGCCGTTTGTCGGTCCATAGGGGAAATCCAGGCGTCGATATTGCACGCTGGCGCGTGCGTGCGTGGTTTGCATGTGTTTGTTTCGCCTGGCTAGTTATCCCCAGGCCTTACATCTGTCACTTGCGTCCCGTCATCCATTGCTCGACCTCGTATTCATACTCATGTCTTACATCCACTTCCATTCCACAGCTTGGCTCCCCCACGGAGTACACTGGGCCAGTCCCAGCTCAAATCACATGTTGTGGCATGATTGCGAACTCGGAGAGGCGATTGTGTTACGTCCCAACTGCAAGGTGCCTTCATGTCGTCCACCCATATGTATATGCAGTCCTGCGGTCAATCATACCCATATTGCCAATTGAAGGAGCAGCTCGAGAAAGTGATGCTCGAAGAGGCGGAGGAAAAGGAAAGCGGCTTTATGCAATCTTCTCCAGATGGTCAGCGCCCATATATATATATATACATACACACACGTTCCGAGAATGTTCAACATTTACTAAACTATTCCGGAAGGGTTATTAAGCATCCACGGGTGCCGATTTATGTATGCAAGTAGCAGTGCCGGATACCTCGCGCGTGGTGCCGCGAATGGTGCCAAGTGCATTGCGTGTTGTGTGTGTGCTTTTGTGTGGCACCATGTGCGCGTTGCTACGTGCGTAGTGTCATGTGTTGAGGTTTGTGGTGTAAGACATCTCAGGCGGTTTGTGCCATTGGTTTGGTGCTGTGTGCTGTATACCATGTGCGTGCTGCCGTGTGCGTCGTACTGTGCGCGCGTTGTGCCAGAAGTGATGGTATAAGCGTTGCGCTGCGATGTCGGTGTGCAGTGTGCGTGGTTGCGCTTGCGTGTTGCTGTGCGCTTGGTGTCATGTGCATGGCGGCATGATACCGTGTGATGTGTTCCTTGTGCGTAGGCTAATGTGCATTGTGACGTGTCGTGGGTGTTGTGTGTTTGTTGCAGAGTGCTCGGTGTCGTTTGCGGGGTGCCACGTGCACAGTGATATGTGTGTGGTGTCGTGTGTAAATGTGATGACATGGGCGCGTTGTGTTGGATCTTCGTGCGTGCGCGCTCCGTCAGCCTGAGATAGCAGTAACGTGTGCAAGCGTGGCCGTGTGGTCATAGATGGGGCCCTTCTGGGGCTCACTCTGACCTCGGAGCTTTCCCCCCTGGACCCGCTCGGAGGCCCCCCGTGCACCTCCCCTCCGTTCCTGCTCCGTCTCCCACCTCCTCCTCCTCCTTGATGCCACTCTCGCTTCGGCACAGGCACGCGTGCTTCGCCGCATGAGCCTGCACCAGCGCCTCGCCTCTTCCTCGTCCTCCTCCTCCTCCTCCTCCTCCTCCTCCTCCCTCCTCCTCCTCCTCCTCCCTCCTCCTCCTCCTCCTCCTCCTCCTCCTCCTCCTCCTCCTCCTCCTCCTCCTCCTCCTCCTCCCCAGGCTGCGCGCCATCACGGGGGACCGCCCCCGTTGGGGCCGCGCGAGCGAGTGGCACACGACAGGCCAACTGCGTATGCGAAGCGGGGTTCAGACGCTGAAGCAGCGCGCAGAGCTTTCTCGATCGTCGATCGTTTCGACTTGGGGCTCCACTGCGGTGTATTGCCCTGTCTGGTCTCGCCTCCTTCTCTCTCATCCTCTTCTCCTGGTCTTCCTCACCCGCATCGCGTCGAAGAGAGCCCGCCCTCCAGAAGCGGGAAATCGAAGAGGCGGACCGAGCTAGAAAGGAGGCCCAGGCGGCCGAGGAGAGAAGGCTGGAGGAGGACAGGAAGAAGGAGCAGGACTCCGCCCTGGCCCTCGCGCTGCCAGCCACCCCAGGGGCCCCTCCGAGGGTGGATCGTTCAAGCGAAAAGACGCTCGTTCGAGCGAAAAGGTAATCCGTTCCAGCGAAAACCAACCGAACGAAAACCAATCCAGAGAACAGCAGATAGCAGCAGAGAACAGCAGAGAACAGCAGAGAACAGCAGAGAGCAGCAGAGAACAGCAGAGAACAGCAGAGACAGCAGAGAAGCAGCAGAGACAGCAGCAGAGAGCAGCAGAGAACAGCAGAGAGCAGCAGAGAACAGCAGAGAACAGCAGAGAACAGCAGAGAACAGCAGAGAGCAGCAGAGAGCAGCAGAGAACAGCAGAGAACAGCAGAGAACAGCAGAGAGCAGCAGAGAACAGCAGAGAGCAGCAGAGAGCAGCAGAGAGCAGCAGAGAGCAGCAGAGAGCAGCAGAGAACAGCAGAGAGCAGCAGAGAGCAGCAGAGAGCAGCAGAGACAGCAGCAGAGAACAGCAGAGAGCAGCAGCAGAGAGCAGCAGAGAGAGCAGCAGAAGCAGCAGAGAGCAGCAGAGAGCAGCAGAGAGCAGCAGAGCAGCAGAGAACAGCAGAGAGCAGCAGAGCAGCAGCAGCAGAGCAGCAGCAGCAGAAGCAGCAGAGAGCAGAGAGCAGCAGCAGAGAGCAGCAGAGAACAGCAGAGAGCAGCAGAGCAGCAGAGCAGAGAGAGCAGCAGCAGAGAGCAGCAGAGCAGCAGCAGAGAGCAACAGCAGAGAACAGCAGCAGAGAACAGCAGAGAGCAGCAGAGAGCAGCAGAGAGCAGCAGAGAGCAGCAGAGAGCAGCAGAGAACAGCAGAGAGCAGCAGAGAGCAGCAGAGAAGCAGCAGAGAGCAGCAGAGAGCAGCAGAGAGCAGCAGAGAGCAGCAGAGAAGCAGCAGAGAACAGCAGAGAACAGCAGAGAACAGCAGAGAGCAGCAGAGAACAGCAGAGAGCAGCAGAGAAGCAGCAGAGAACAGCAGAGAGCAGCAGAGAACAGCAGAGCAGCAGCAGAGAGCAGCAGCAGAGCAGCAGAGAACAGCAGAGAACAGCAGAGAACAGCAGAGAGCAGCAGAGAACAGCAGAGAGCAGCAGAGAACAGCAGAGAACAGCAGAGAGCAGCAGAGACAGCAGCAGCAGAGAACAGCAGAGAACAGCAGAGAGAGACAGCAGAGAACAGCAGAGAGCAGCAGAGAGCAGCAGACAGCAGAGAACAGCAGAGAACAGCAGAGAACCAGCCAGAGCTGGGAACCACGATTTCGGGCTTTTCCGGCTGGATCTCTCCAAAATCGTGGTTCCCGCCATCATCGGGGCCGCCCGTGGCTCCCAGGGGCGCCAGCCAGAGCTGGTAACCACGATTTCGGGCTTTTCCGGCGTGGATCTCTCCAAAATCGTGGTTCCCGCCGTCCTGGGGCCGCCGTGGCTCCAGGGGCGCCAGCCAGAGCTGGGAACCACGATTTCGGGCTTTTCCGGCCTGGATCTCTCCAAAATCGTGGTTCCCGCCATCCTCGGGGCCGCCGTGGGTCCCAGGGGCGCCAGCCAGAGCTGGGAACCACGATTTCGGGCTTTTCCGGCCTGGATCTCTCCAAAATCGTGGTTCCCGCCATCCTCGGGGCCGCCGTGGGTCCCAGGGGCGCCAGCCAGAGCTGGGAACCACGATTTCGGGCTTTTCCGGCCTGGATCTCTCCAAAATCGTGGTTCCCGCCATCCTCGGGGCTGCCGTGGCTCCCAGGGGCGCCAGCCAGAGCTGGGAACCACGATTTCGGGCTTTTCCGGCCTGGATCTCTCCAAAATCGTGGTTCCCGCCGTCCTCGGGGCCGCCGTGGCTCCCAGGGGCGCCAGCCAGAGCTGGGAACCACGATTTCGGGCTTTTCCGGCCTGGATCTCTCCAAAATCGTGGTTCCCGCCGTCCTCGGGGCCGCCGTGGCTCCCAGGGGCGCCAGCCAGAGCTGGGAACCACGATTTCGGGCTTTTCCGGCCTGGATCTCTCCAAAATCGTGGTTCCCGCCGTCCTCGGGGCCGCCGTGGCTCCCAGGGGCGCCAGCCAGAGCTGGGAACCACATCACCCCCGGTTATGAGAGGTTGACTCGGTAAGTGCGGTCAGGCCGGTTCAGTCGTCAACGGGGCGGCGGTTAGTGGTGGAACGTTCCCGCTGTTATTCATCGCTCCAGGGGATCAAATTCGATCGGACCCCCCGTCGTTTCTCGCAAGTGGGGGGTCTGCCTGCGCGCGATTTGTCAGTTGTCGCCTGTCCAACGAGAATACCATTACTACCGCAGTGCTACAACCGCACTACTACTACAGTGCTAAGAGTATAACTACGACTACATTGTTACTACGGTGCGACAATACTAACGTGCTACTACAAACCTAGAGTATTATAATACTAGAGTCTTCCTGTACTAATTCTACAGCTGTCACTACAGCATTACCACTACTACCACTAGTATTACTACGACTACGACTACTACTACTACTACTACTACTACTACTACTACTACTACTACTACTACTACTACTACTACTACTACTACTACTACTACTACTACTACTACTACTACTACTACTACTACTACTACTACTACTACTACTACTACTACTACTACTACTACTACTACTACTACTACTACTACTACTACTACTACTACTACTACTACTACTACTACTACTACTACTACTACTACTACTACTACTACTGCTACTACTGCTACTACTACTACTACTACTACTACTACTACTACTACTACTACTACTACTACTACTACTACTACTACTACTACTACTACTACTACTACTACTACTACGACGATTACTACTACTACTACTACTACTACTACTACTACTACTACTACTACTACTACTACTACTACTATTGCTACTTCTACTGCTACTACTACTACTACTACCACCACCACTACTACTACTACTACTACTACTACTACTGCTACTACTACAACTATTACTATTCATACACTTGGACTAGAGTGTTTTAGTACGACTACAATATTAAGATAATGTTACAACGACTTCAGCAATCGAGTGCTATGATACCGGAGAAAATCCCCAATCAGGGCTGTAGGGCTAGGGGGCTATTGAGCTATAGGGCTATAGAGCTATAGGGCTACCTTTACGACCACCCTTTGGATGATAAGGAGGTTCGGGGGGGGAGGAACCAACGTCTCACTCGATCGGTCCCACTATCGATCTCACAATCGATCTCACTATCGGTCTCGCTCGACCGATCTCACTCGGTCGATCTCACAATCGATCTCACTCGATCTATTTCATTCGATCGACCTCACAATTGATACGACTATCGATCTCACAATCGATCTCACTATCGATCTCACTATCGATTTCACAATCGATCGCGCATTCGGTCTCATCGACCTCAATATCGTTATCACAAGCGATCTCACAATCAACATCATCATTATCATCAACAGCATCGTCATCAGCGTCGTCAACATCATCATCATCATTGGGACACCATCATCATAACCTCATCACCATCATCATCAACATCATCATCACCATCATCATCGGGACACCCTCATCGTCACCATCATCATCATCAACATCATCAGCATCATCGGGACACCATCATCATCGGAACACCACCATCATCATCTCATCATCATCATGGACAACATAGCAACATCATCGTCATCGGGACACCATCATCATCATCATCAGCAACATCATCAACATCATCATCGTCACCATCGGGGCACCATCATCATCGTCACTATCCTCATCATCGCCATCATCATCAGCATCGGGACACCATCATCATCAACATCAGCATCATCATCGGGCCATCATCATCAAACTCATCATCATCACTTCATCATCATATTCATCATTAACATCATCATCATCATCTGGACACCATCATCGTCATCATCATTATCAACATCATGATCGGGACACCATCATCATCATCACCATTATTATCAACAGCGTCATCATCAGCCTCATCATCACCATTATTGGGACACCATCTTCATCATCTTCATCATCATCAACGTCTCATCATCATCTCATCATCATCAACATCATCATGATCATCAACACCATCATCATCATCATCATCATCATCATCGGGACACCGTCATCACCATCATCAGCAACATCACCAACATCATCATCATGATCGGGACACCATCATCATCACCACCATCACCGTCTTCATCATCATCAGCATCATCATCAACATCGTCAACATCATCGTCATCATCACCATCATCATCATCATCATCCTCGGGACACCATCATCATCACCATCATCATCATCATCGACATCACCATTAGTATCATCATCGCCACCATCATCATCATCACCACCACCATCATCCTCCTCCTCATCATCATCATCGTCATCATCATCGGGACACCGACGGGACACCGTCGGGACACCGGCGGGACACCGGCGAGACACCGGCGGGACACCGCGGGCCACCGGCCCCTGGAAAGGAATCACTTGGTCCGGCCGCGCCTCAGCCAGAGACGGGACACCGGCGGGGCACCGCGGGCCACCGGCCCCTGGAAAGGAATCATTTGGTCCGGCCGCGCCTCAGACGGAGGAGACTTCTTCTCGCCTGCCCACGCAGCTTCGCCTCGCCCGCACGCGCGGCACGTACGAACACGAAACCGAAACCGATTTCCCGGTAGGGGGGCTCTCCGTTCCACTTCGATCTCACCCCCTCACCTCCGATAGAGTTGCAGGGCTATAGGGCTGTTGGGCTATTGGGCTATAGGGCGATAGGGCACCCCCGGGCACCCCCCGGCACCCCCGTGCACGCCCAGGCCCGGGCACCCCCGGGCACCCCCGTGCACCCCCGGGCACGCCCAGGCCCGGGCACCCCCGGGCACCCCCGCGGGGCACCCGGGCACCCGGGCACCCCCGGCACCCGGGCACCCGGGCGTGCCGCAAAAATCGGCGGCAAATTTAAGCTAACCATATGAATCCGCTAGGACCCCTAC